TGGCAAGACCATTTGTTATCCATTTATTGAATATCTAAGCTGATGGAAATTTATAATATAGCTGGCCAAACTGAAGACAGCAAAGAACAGGAAGGCCCAGGATCAACTAAGTAGGGAGGGCTTAGGTTATATTTGTCAAGTTCTCTCAAACAGTAAATCAGAAAGAAAGGAACAAAAGACACTTAAGACATCCAAACAAAAATCAATAAAATGCCTCTCACCATATACCAAATCAACTCAAAATGGATTAAAGAATTAAATATAAACCCTGAAACAATAAAACTTCTCAAAGAAAACATATGAGAAACACTTCAAGAAGTAGGACTGGGCACAGACTTCATGAACATGACCCCCAAAGCATGGGCAATCAAAGGAAAAATAAATAAATTGGATTATATCAAACTAAAAAGCTTCTGCACAGCAAAAGAAATAATTAACAGAGTTCAAAGACAACCGACAGAGTGGAAAAAAGTATTTGCAAAATATACATCTGACAAAGGATTAATATCCAGAATATACAAGGAACTCAAACAACTTTACAACAAAAAAACAAGCAACCCAATTTAAAAATGGGCAAAAGAGCTAAATACGCATTTCTCAAAGAAAGATATATGAACTGGCAACAGACACATGAAAAAATGCTCGACATCATTCAGCATTCGGGAAACACAAATCAAAACCACAATGAGAAACCATCTCACCCCAGTTAAGATGGCTAATATCCAAAGACTGTGAACGATAAATGCTGGCGAGGTTGCGGAGAAAAAGGAACTCTCATACATTGTTGGTGGGACTGCAAGATGATACGGCCTCTATGGAAAATGGTATGGAGGTTCCTGAAACAATTGCAGATAGATCTACCACATGACCCAGCTATCCCACTGCTGGGAATATACCCAAAGGAATGGAAATCAAGTCTAAGATATACCTGTTCTCCAAGGTTCATTGCAGCACCTGTACAATAGGTAAGAGTTGGAATGAGCCCAAATGTCCATCATCAGATGAGTGAATATGGAAAATGTGGTATATCTACACAATGGAATACTACTCTGCTATAAAAAAGAATGAAATACCGCCATTTGCAACAACATGGATAGACCTAGAGAGAATTATATTAAGTGAAAGTAGTCAGGCACATCAAGAGAAATATTACATGTTCTCACTTATTTGTGGGAGATAAAAGTAAATAAATAAATACACAAACAACTGGGGGGGGGGGGGGAGGGAAGAAGACACAACAATTACAATTCCTTGAAGTTGATATAACAAGCAAACAGAAAGGAGATTGTTGTGGGGGAGAGGGAAGAGGGGGGAGGTTTTGGTAATGGGCTACAATAATCAACCACATTGATATAGACAAAATAAAGTAAAATTTAAAAAGAAAAAAAAAAACTCTTTGCCAAATCCATCATCATACTTTCACCCATATTATTTTTGTATTACAACTTTACCTTTCATGTTTTGGTATTTGATTTATCTTGGTAAACTTTTGTATACGTTATGATGTAAGGGTCCAACTTCATTCTTTTGCACGTGGTCATACAGTTGTGCAAGCACCAATTTTTGAAAAGACTATATTTTATCCACCCTGGGCCCCATTCTAGAAAACCAGTTGACCAAAAATATATTGTTTTATTTCTATGATATCAATTGTACGCTATTGATGTATGTCTACTTCTCTATCAGTACCATAGCTGTTTTTGTTTGTTTTGTATCTGGGAGGTACCAGGTTCTAAATCTTTGGCCTTGGTCTTACAACAGTGCATTCTAACCAACTGATCTAATTGGCAAGCCCCTATATTGTTTTGAAGAACACAATATGACCCACCAAAATTCACAGGCTGGAGCTTTAACCCCCAGTGTGAGTACTTGGAGGTAAGGCTTTTGGAAGGCAATCGGGTCTAGATGTGGTCATGAGGGGGAAGCAGCCATAATGACATTAATGCCCATATATAATAAGGAAGATAAATGAGATCACTTGCTCTCTGTTTCTGCAAGTATACACCAAGGGAAGGCATGTGAGGACTTACCCAGGAGGAAGGCCCTCACCAAGTACCAGACAATGCTGACAGCCTGATCTCAGACTTCCAGACTCCAGAATTGTGAAAAATAAAAGTCTGTCATTTGGATCTCCCAGCCTATTGTATAGTTATGGCAGTCCAAATTATGTAAGACACTTAGTAGTAAGTTTCCAAATTAGAACATCTGAGACCTCCTACTTTTTTTTTTTCCCCCAAGATTCCTTTTGCTCTTCTGGGTTTTCTACCCTTCCATATAAGTATTTAAAACATCTTGCCAATTCCTACAAAGACTCCAGTTTGGGATTCTGACACGAATTGCATCAAATCTGTAGGTGGAGTTTAAAAAGTCATTACAGGGAGTGTCAGCATCTCAACAATGTCAAGTCTTCTGTTGCATGAACATGGGAGGTTTCTCCATTTGCTTAGATCTTTATTAATTCCATATAGTAACATTTTATAGTTTTCAGAGCATTTGTGTCAAGATTTATAAAATTCCACTGCACTATGTGTTCATGGGACTTTAAAAATATTTGTTAAAATTTAAAACGTTTCCATATTCATAAAATTAATAGTTTCCATCCACTGTGCATTCATACCTGTCTTTGTCAGTATATGGACTAACTAAAGGCTTTTCCACATTTCTTACATTGAGCATTTTATCCAGTATGAATTTTTTCATGCCTTCGAAAGGAACAGTGAGCACTGAAGGCTTTACCACAGTGTTTACATTCATAAGGTTTCTCTCCACTATGAACTGTTTCATGTATTCGGAGGGATTTGGACCAACCGAAGGCTTTTCCACACTGTTTACATTCATAGCGTTTCTCTCCAGTGTGATTCCTTTCATGAATGTGAAGTGAACTGGGATACACAAACACTTTCCCACATAGCTTACATTTATAAGGTCCATCTCCAGTGTGCAGTACCATGTGTCTCTGAACACTTGCAAGAGAGATAAAGACTTTCCCACATTCCTTACACTCACAGTGTTTTCTTTCATTGTGAGTCCTTTCATGTGTTCGAAATGAACTGGAATACTTAAAGCCTTTCCCACATACATTACACTTATAAGGTCTATCTCCAGTGTGCACTATCATATGTCTTTGAACATGTGCAAGAAACATGAAGGCTTTCCCACATTCCTTACATTCATAGGGTTTCTCTCCACTGTGAGTTCTTTCATGTTTTCGAAAGGAACTTAACCAATTGAAGGCTTTACCACATTTTTTACATTCATAGGGTCTTTCCCCATTGTGAGCCCTTTCATGCTCTTGAAATGAGGTACGAGAGCCAAAGGCTTTCTCACATACCTTACATTTATAAGGTCCAACTCCAGTGTGTATCATCATATGTCTCTGAAGTGTTGCAAGAGAAATGAGCACTTTTCCACATTTCTTACACTCATAGGGTTTCTCTATAATGTGAGATCTTTCGTGTATTCGACATGAACTGGGCCACCTGAAGACCCTATCACACTGTTTACACGCATAGTGATTTTCTCCACTGTGAGCCCTTTCATGCATTCGCAATGAACTGGGGCAGAGAAAGGCTTTCCCACATACCTTACATTTGTAAGGTCTATCTCCAGTATGCACTATCATGTGTCTTCGTACCTGTGTGAGAGAAATAAAGGCTTTTCCACATTCCTTACATTTATAGGGTTTCTCTTCAGTGTGAGTTCTTTCATGTGTTTGAGCTGACCTGCAAATACTAAAGGCCTTCCCACATTCCTTACACTTGTAGGGTTTCTCACCAGAGTGAGTTCTTTCATGTCTTCGAATGGAACTGAGAAAACCAAAGGCTTTCCCACATTCCTTACACTCGTAGGGTTTCTCACCAGTGTGAGTTCTTTCATGTTTTCGAGCTGAACTGGAAACACTAAAGGCTTTCCCACATTCCTTACACTCATAGGGTTTCTCTCCAGTGTGAGTTCTTTCATGTCTTCGAATGGAACTGAGAAAACCAAAGGCTTTCCCACATTCCTTACACTCATAGGGCTTCTCTCCAGTGTGAGTTCTTTCATGTCTTCGAATGGAACTGAGAAAACCAAAGGCTTTCCCACATTCCTTACATTCATAAGGTTTCTCTCCAGTGTGAGATCTTTTGTGTCTTCGTAAGGAACTGGAAAACCTGAAGGCTTTTCCACACTGTTTACATTCATAGGGTTTCTCTCCACTGTGCATTTTTTCATAACTTTGACATGAACTGGGACACTCAAAGCCTTTCCCACATACCTTACATTTATAAGGTCCATCTCCAGTGTGCACTATCATGTGTCTTTGAATACCTGCAAGAGAAATGAAAGCTTTCCCACATTCCTTACATTCACTGGGTTTGTCTCCAGTGTGAGTCTTTTCCTGAATCCCACTGGAGCGGAGATAAATGAAGGCTTTCCTACACTGCTTCTGTTTATGTAACTGCTCTCCATATTCCTGATTCTCATATGACTTGGGTCCGCTGTGAGATCGGATGTGCCCATTAAGGGGTGAACTACACATGTATACTTTCTCACATAGAATACATCCACATGGTTTTACTATAGAATTGTTCTTGTTCACATTAAGATTTGGAATCCAGCTGAATGTTTGTCCACAGTCACGACTTTCTTTAACTTTATCGAATTTCTCTACAATATGATTGCTGTAAAAAATGAGAAGCACATTATTTGTGGTTTATTAACATGTTTACATTTGTTGTTGTGTATTAGACTTACATTTTCAACAGTATCAGGGAAGTGTGGCTTTTCTGCCCTGCCTGAGGTGTTTGAAAGTCAATGGATTAAATGCTGTGCAAGAGGATGTGACCACAGCTATTAAACAAAACAGTAATATTGATATATGCCATTTCTTAATACTGAATGTTTAGGTCACATTTCAATATACATTTTTGGTTAACATTTTCTATAAATAAATAAATTTAAAGTTGGGCTTTTCTTTCCAAATTTTTTAGGTTTTACAACATAATAACATGTTCCCATGGGACACCGCTTTTTATTCTGAATACAAATTACCTTTGATTTCTGCAGTTATTTTTGTACTGATCTTCAATTTTCTGGTCTTCCCATTTTTTTCCTAAAATGTAGGACCACAAGAATCATTATAAATTGTCAGAAATTACAATACCAGAACAATATTGGATCCTATGTTCAAGATGAGCTATGACCATTCCTCATTTAATCACCAAAATATTTTCTTTCCACCTTCCAAGTTGAGGAACACCACTGACAGGTAACAAACATGTTCTCTAACTGAGTAAGGGAAAGAATGTTGTCATTCTTACCTATAGAAGCCAAGTTTGTATAGATTTCTCCCATGACATCTCTGTAGAGTTTTTTCTGTGAATAATCCAGCAGAGCCCACTCCTCCAGGGTGAAGTTGACATCCACATCTTCAAAAGCCACTGAGTCCTAAAACATCCCACATGTTTAAAGGAGAAAGGGCAGGAAGACAATACAGGAATGTATAATCAATTCACATAAGTTTAGACACAATTCTGTAGTCTCCAAACATTTATTTTATGATAAATAATTACAGTTACAAGAACTCTAATTCTCTGTTCAAGATCACTTCCTCATAAATTGAACAGCACCATGAAAACATAAAACCCATCTCTACATTTTTACTGTGGGCACTACAAGTCTAACTGCACTCTAACAGCAGCACCCCATTCACCTGGTGATGACCCACATTTAAGACCATTATTTCTCGTGATAAAATCTGTTCCATTTCTTTCCTTACTACTGACCACACCATGCAGGGTTCCATGAGGCCCGGGATAAAACCTGGATGAAGTATCAATGAACACATACACCCTGAAGAAGTGGAAGCTTATTCTTCCATTCCCTTGCCCAAGCAGGAGAGGAATGAGGACATGTGGCAATCCAATCCGTAACAAGGTCCAGCTGACTGTATGTTCCTGAAGGACTCTAAGCCATTGGAAGTAATCAGACTCAGCTAAATGAGTGAAATTACTGCTCTACAAAACTATTAATTTTCATTTGCTTGCATAATATTTATCACAGACTTAATGTTCCCTTTTTCTCAGTCTCATTTCACTGGGCCATAAAGTAATCAGGGAGATTGAGCTCAGGCATGAGGAAGAAAGCACAGCACTTCAGAGCTTCACAAATATCCCCCTACTCATGAGCATCAGGGCAGCTTTCCACCCATTTTCAGCATAAGAGAGTTCTTCAAAAGGTTCATGAAAAATTCTTATTATCTTTCAGTTCCACAAACTTTTCGAAATACCATCATATATATACAGAATTATCGAAAAGACCAGATGAAACAGAAACTCTGGCAGCCCCACAACAGTGTACCCTGGATCTTGCTGAACTTGAAGAATGGGTTAACAGTTGCTATTTCCAAAAGATTTCATTGAGGTCTGTAATGGTTTGACAGTGAATTTCCCCATGATTATAAAATATTTACAGGGTTAAGCAGTGTCTTCTTCCAGAAATAGAAAATCCTCCTTCTCCAATTTTGGGAACAAATGATTCCTGGCCAGCCAATAGGCAACATTACATTGTACAGTGTCAAAGCAAAATAAAACAAGGGGAAAGATGGCACAAGTTCTTCAAAGGAACTCCCTGTGTGCATGATGCATTCTTTCAAAATATTTTTTCAATTCCATCCATCTCCATAACAGACTTTATATAAGTCAACAAAAAGTACTTCTCCAAAGCTAATAGGAATAACAAATGTCTAGTAATAGTCAAAGTATCCCTAAGAGCAAGCTGCATGATGCATTCTTTCAAAATATTTTTTCAATTCCATCCATCTCCATAACAGACTTTATACAAGTCAACAAAAAGTACTTCTCCAAAGCTAATAGGAATAACAAATGTCTAGTAATAGTCAAAGTATCCCTAAGAGCAAGCTGAAAATTCACTGTATTCCATGGACAATAATCAACTTATTTGTATATAAAAGATAACACCACAACACTTAAAAAGTCATAGGCAATCTTTTTTTTTTTTTTGTCTTTTTCCATGTAGGGCAACGGATCGCAACCCTCAGTGTCGCCCCCGTACCGGACCAGGACCGGCAACGGGATCGCAACCCTCGGTGTTGCCCCCGCGCCTCGCTCAGCCAGTGAGCGGGATCCGAACC